GAAATTATTTATAGCTTCTCTGAGCATCGGTTTTTTTATGTTAAGCTTGTTACAGGTGTTGTTTGCCAGCATTTAATTAGCTTGTTTATACCATCAATTCCAGTAGTTCAAATTCATTGAAATATTAGATTAACAAAATTTAAAGTTTTAGGTTTGAAGTTTAAGTCACTTCATATGTAAAGAAGTGCGAGCAACGATCAGCAATTCAGTTACGCTCACTATCTGACCATCCTACTTCATTTCATAAAATATGAAATCTGAAGAAATTCCTAAATTCTAATAAATCTTAAAAAAAGAATTTAATCAAAGAATAATTTTGGATTTGACAGTATTCCATCCTCTTAAATTGCATTTACAAACATACATGTGTAAATCCATGTTCACAAATGGAATTTAAGAATGAACACAAGATGCAACGGATTTTAACAAAAATTTCCCTGAGAGGACATGATCCATAAAACAAATTGCCGTAAAACTACATTGCGGAAGCTGGGTGATATGACGTTGTGTATGCTTAGCGGCGATATATTTTTATTTGTTCGGTGCCTGGTGCCGAAAGTCTGTGCTCACTTTTACCAACGGATCCCTACCACTCTCTCCCATCTTCCCTCTTTTCCTATCCTTTCTTCTCACCTCCAACTTCAAGATTCACTTCTATAATTCTCGATAAGTTGTTCTTCAAAAGAGAAGAAAGGGCGACGGTCAATTTCAATGTGCACATTTTAACGTTAGTATGGAAGAAGCAGTCATTTTCTGATCCCTCCTGTTATATCATTGCCCATTTGCATACTCATCCATTCGCATTAAATTGGCTTCAACTTGCAACTTCCTCCATTCCATTCATATTGATTGCTCAAAACTACTTTGAAATTTTTGGATTTAGGGGTTACTGATACTCCCCTGGTACCACTTGCAACGAAGGGTGAGAGGGAATAAATTGTCTTGTCTTCTGTGCTGTACCATCACGATACAATGAAAACAAATGACTTCCCATTCGTATTTACATTGCTTAACTTTTCAGATTTATCTTACTATTCTTTTTGTTCTTAATACTGCGATCTTTTTCCGCTTCTTGTATAATACGTACGTATGTTATTCACGTCACCTAAATTACTTCCTTCTATTTTCGTTTATGCAAACGCATTTTCATTAATTAATAGAATATTTGTGAGGATGATGTAAATGGAAAGAAACTCTCCATAACCTTAACTGGACTTACCCAGATATGATGCTATGAATTTAATGATGGATAAATAACTCCTGCTTGCCTGACAACAAAGTTGATTTATTGTAAAGCATGCAGGAATTAGTTGTCAGTTATCAACAATGAGTATGCCTTGATAAAATCTTTACTCCTTTACTAAGAATTTCAATGAGATCATAATGAAATCTTCTCACTGTTATCCCAACCTATCTTTTTTTCCTTAGTTTTTCCTTCCTTCCTACTTGATCAGGATTTCCCTCCTCTCGCTTTTCTTTTTCTCCACTACTTCCGCTTTTAGTCATTGTTGTGTTTCCGTAATGCTACTTATCTGGGGATACAAGTGCCGGTTCTATAAAGAACACGTCGTTCTTTTTCTTATCAGGGTGATGGTGAGGTCAATCTGTGATCGTTTACCCTCTTGGACATCTCATGGTGGTGTGAATCATTCCTCTACTTGTGTATAAAAACGATGGGTGTTTGTTGTATTTTTTGGAGTTAACTGTGCCTAAAAAGCGAAGTCATTTGAGTTGCGAGTGTCGTTGCTCGTTGTTGGGCAGTAAGCACCTTGCCGTTCACTTTATTGTTGGGTTTTTCAGTAGTGTTGTGTGGGAAGAGCAATGCAAATTGCTACTCTTCTTGGTTAGACTGTTTCCCAATGCTGCTGAGATATTTCTCTGAACTGTCCTATCTCCACTTCACTTCATGTACCTTTAAATGTATGCTCCCTCGGGTCACATATTCTTTATATAATTAACAGTGAATTAAGATTCTTCTTGCTCCACAATCAATCAATTTAATAGATATCGTATAACACTGAGATCTATCACAATAAAAACAATATTGTCAGCGAATGCAGGAATCCGAAATTATTCTTCCTTTTATCGTTCATTCGCGATATCTTAATTGATGGGAAAACGTTGAGAAGTTCTATGATCAGAAAATGTCATTGTGACTCACACGTTCTGCAAGCACTGGCAAAATTCAAATTTTAATTCGTGCTTATTTCATGTGTGGAAAATATTATGAAGTGTATGATTAATTAAAACATTCCCACAATTACTTTTTTGTCAGTTCAAAGATCTGAAAACTGACTGAGAGTTAAATTAGGTATTGCAATTTTTTGGTAGTTAGAAGTTTTGCATTCATAAGGTAATGGGCTCCTTTAATAAAACGTAAAAGGAATAAAATATTGCTATATAACTAACTGGTGCTAAAAAGTACACTGAAAAAGAAAACTGAATTCCGAATTAGAAAGTGCTAGACATTAAGCAGCCTTATTTGATAAGGTATAAACCGTTAAAATACCACTTAATTTTTAATTAAATTAAATACCGATATTTACTCCTACTTTTTAAAAGTTATCTAGATCTGAATATTGTGCTACAATCAATAAGGTGTAAATCACTGTACGCAATCGCCTGGATTTGACGTCAATGTTTTTGTAAATGTCACATTGCGAAAAAAGAGTCCCGTTTATAAAATTGTTCCAAATTAGATCGTAGAAAATTAATTATCTGTAAATATTTATTACTCTTTAGAATTAGAAAATAAATTTGGCCTCCGTGGTATAAGTTTGATTTTACGCTATGTTTTCTGCATGATTTCGAATTCCCCATAACGAAAAGTAAGGAGAAAAATTCTATTATCTTCAAGCCGATATCATATTTTAATAAATGCACTTACACATGTTTCAGTAAGACTGAAAATTTTATTACTATATTGAGTAAAGGACATTTTAAAATACTGTCAGTGGTTTCGTTGGTTTCAAAATGTATATTTGAGGTAGTCCATTGCCAAGAATAGAAAGAAAACATAATGAAAGTTGAAAAGCTTTCCAAATGGATACTTGAAAGCTTCTCAACCCTCAATATGTAGAAGTGCATACTGGACGACAAACACTTATTTCTTGCTAAACTTTTGCAGTTCTGATCTAATTCAAATGTTGATTATATGTGAATTGAAGAAATGATACAACCATGGAGTTCCAATTAATATTTCATTATGTTATCAAATATGTTCTGGTAATCAATTCCTTTAATGATACTGAGATTATAAGTGAAACCTAAATAAGGTAGTTAATGCGTGACTTTTATTTATGGAAGTTCTTTTTCGAGGGAGAGATTTCGATTGGCACAGTAGTGAAGACTTAATTCGAGAGAGAGGCTTATTCTTCTTGATGTTATAATACAATTATCAGATAATACTGTCAAGTGAGTGGGTCACTTGGTGATTCTTCTTTCCGTTAATCCGGAAGAATAATTTGGGATTCTTCGTAAAGGTAGTGGTTTAGAGAAATGTAGATAGTAAGACCGTTTCATTCCAGAAACAATAAGTTGCACTGGAGTACGCTTCCTTCGAATTGGGCGGTGTTTTGTGATCATTGTTTATGGTAAATAATTAGTTAATTGGTCATTTTGTAAACGAAACCAACGGCACAAAGCAGTCATAGGATCTTTGATACAGAAAGCTGATCGTAATAAAAATCGTCTGGTCTTTAACAAAATGAAATTAATGGTGAACACGAGGTCATTGGATAGAAATCATTAGCGGCATTCTTTAGGAAGATATATCAAGAGAAATATATAAAGCATATCATTAAGAATTTACGGCAGACGACAATAGATATTGATGATATTCTTTGAATAATAAACAAAAGACATCGTATTATATGTTTAGGAAATTGGGCAAACATTGACTAAGAATTGTGATAAACAATTTCTTTATGCTGACTGAATACAAGGCTATTTTAATTATATAATAATTTCATATTATAGTGTTATTTGGGTTCTAGTATAAAGGTGACAAGGATGACATGGTCTTTCACAATGAATTTGGAATATACATCGTGGAATCTTTCCTTCTTGTTCTCATCACGTTTGGGTAATATATAAATATACTAGTCAAATGAGAATACAGCCAAAGTACCTAAACACTAGTTGGGAGTTGATATATCATTTCATCTGAATCCTTCGTTCATTTTTAAGCATCTATCTTTCCATGACTTCTGAAAACATAACTAGCGCCCGCGCCATTTTAGCAGACTTCGCAACTTCCGCGTTACTTTCGCGAATGCTTTGAAGAAGTATGGAACATCCTAATAACGCACCATTTCCGAACTACTCCATTCCACATTGATTTTTCATGCTGTTTTTGAAATAACAGTGCAACTATCGCATACACACATACATATACACATACACTCAACACATACACGCACACATATATATGCATATGTATATACGTTGCACATCACATCAATGCATGAGCATGCATGCATGCCCATGCATTTCCAAGGAGAGCTCTATCGGGTGCGCACACACGGACGCACATATAGCGGGGAAATTGTTGAACAACTCACCTGGCATACTTTCCTTTATTTCGTGCGAATAAGATGTGTTTATTGTAAATTGTTCTCAGTATTAGTGCAGATTAAGCGCGAATGTGTTCGATGGTAGACCGATCTATTTACCTATCATTTATTACCTTCTCAGCATTGCAATCCTCGTAAATTCATTCTGACCTTCAACTCATCCCATCTTCCTTAGTAAGCTGCACTAACTGCACTTACGCTTTTTGAAATGAGCTAACAGGTGGACAACGTGTCTATCTATATATTAACTATTCCATGCCATATTTGCAATTGAAATCACTTCGATTATTTCATTGGACTTTCAAATAAACTGTAAATAAAATGCGTACAATTTTGTTCATATTATAAAGTTCAGTGAAAGTATTTCATATTTACCTCATATTCAGAATTGGATCGATAATGTGTGTTATATGAAAGTTGATGAATATGGCATCCGATGAGTACACTCAAACTATTAAGAAATTAAAACCGATACCGTTACAAGGAGATATCTCGGATGCTCTTACTAACAACTTTATCTCATTGTTCATTGGTGTTAAACAGAAAAGCTCTAGCATTCCGTATCCTTCCATCAAAATCAACAGAGACAACAATCGTCATCCTGAAAGGATATCACCATCAGAATTCGTTACCTTACAAAGGTTACGTTCAAGTGCATTGGCATGCAGGACAAGCACGACAATCAAAACTAGCCGAAACAATGGTACTTTGTTCGATGACCTCATAAACAGCGATGCTGTTGACAAAAATAAGGTGAGCAATCGTCCCTTTCCTCTCGCTGATCATTCGGTGGATACATTACGGTCAGAAAAGAGTAGCTAAAGACACAAACTTCGTTCGCTATATGATATTACGTGTCTGGTTTGTGTTTTTGTTATTCCAGATGAAAAAAAAATCCCTATGTTCTAGTGCATGGGCTCTACATAGCCTACCAGAAAGAATGGTAATGAATGGAGCTGAATGATATCGATTCTTCATTGTCCTTTTATTTTACAAGTTGGAAAAATGCTGGAAAGATTATTTCATTTAAAGCTGGGAATATGAAACATGTGCTTCATTGAAGCTGAAAATTGAAATGAAGCACACTTGCGTAGGCTTCATTTCAATTTTACTTTATAATATTGTGTAATTGCAGGAAAAACATAAAGAGAGTGAAACAAATATTGGTGATGCTGAGGTCATTTTGTCCGAGAAAGTCATTACCGCAAGTCCTTCAAGATCTGCAGTGGAGAATGATGAAAAACATACCAAACCTGTGCAGGAAAAAGTAATAGAACCATCGATTGAAAAGTCTGTGATACTACTTGCTAGAGGACCTGTTCGTAATTTACGCAGCACTATCGTTGGTTATGCTCCATACACATCAAGAAGTGGATGTGTTATAGAGCCACAGAATTTCGATGGAAATATCGAAAACTATAACATGTTGTATAGCACACGTCAATATGGCTTTGAAAATCCAACTTTTTCACCCACTGGATCGGATCTCACACAATTTACATCAAGTAGTTCAACTCCAGATACAATACAGTCGGATTTTGGCTGCGGTTCGTCAAGCACACTATATAAGATCTCACCTAGTTTAGAGCAAACTATTTCATCTCTAGGAGATGTAGTGAATAATACTCAACTTCCTGAAGACCTGTCTGACTTTATTCTAAAATACTCTCAAGAATATACAACTGTACGATCACTGAAAAATAATATATCAGCGAGATCTAGAGATAGCAGCATCAGTGATGGTAACAATCAGACAAATTTTGATAGTCCCTTGTATCGGATTCTTGTTGAAGATAATTGCGTTTCACCACTTTCGGCGAAAAGTGCACCACAGTGTTCCCCTGTGCTACCACGAACAGCTGCACAGATCCCGGCTATTTTTGAAGAAAACCAGTTAGAAACAACTGCTGCTTCCAAGAATTTGTCAGTTCCTGAATTTTTAAAAATCAATCAAAGTAAAAGAGAACTGACAACATCACGTTTAGCAAAATGTCGTTTTCGAGCTCTTATTAATGACAACGAAATGGTTGAAGCTTGGGCATGGTCATGCAAATGTATTCAGGTCAATTTTGATTCTAATCTAGCAAAATCATGAAGTATCTAGAACATCATTTTTACAAAGCCTTGCTATTATTGAGATATAATCGCAAGCAAGCACGCATGTCCTTAGTCTACCTGTCGCATTATTTCATTTCTATCATTGTTCGAACTGGTAGTAATCGATCTCTTTAAGCATAATTAGCCAGTACCCTCAAATAAGGCTTTTAGAACATACTTTCACAGCTCAATCATTGTTTAATCACACCATCACTCAGGTTTTATACTGAAGGAGGGGAGAAGGAGGATAGAGCAACAAAATAATTGTGAAAAGAAAATGAACTGAATGTTGACCACGAAAATATTATCTGAAGTTAAAGTCTTGCTGTAGCTTAACCTTTGGAGAACTAACTACCCGGCGTTTTTTACAGAATATAGGCCAGAAACAACTGACAACATAAGTAATAAATGACTGCACATTCATATTGTGTAAGTGGAACGATTGTTACATTCATCATGTCAGGAGCTGTGTTACAGGAACTGGAAGGTGCACTATGCTATCAGGATCAAGATGGCGATACCCTTTTGCACATTGTGATTTTGCATATGGATCTCCCGAAAATTTATGCGCTCGTTGAGCAGATGTTGAAAGCTGAAAATGTTTGTACACGGCCAGCTTTTGATATGCCAAATGCAGCTTTTGAAACACCTCTCTATTTGGCTGTACAAAAAAATAGTCCTGAAGTCGTGGCATACCTGGTGGAAGCCGGAGCTAATCCAAATCACCAGACGGCATCGCCAGGACAGCAAACACCTTTGCATTATGCTGCATCAAATGGAATGACTGAAATTGTTGAAGTGATTTCGTTTGTTCCGTTGAAGAATTACTGTTTGTCATGCATTTCAAAGTTTTTCCTTCTTTCATTACTTTAACATTATTTTTATTTGCTTCATAATTTCGACGGCACATATTTTAGATATCGATACCATATTTTAGATTCTTTGCACTAGTGGGAAAGTTGATGTTAACATGCTCAATGGAATGGGACAAACGCCGCTTTTGTGTGCTGTTAAGGAACATGGTGTTGGCCGGAGAAAGACTCAGCTGTATATTGATAACAGTTCGACGATTCTGTGTCTTCTTAAGCATGGGTCGAACCCCATGAATACAGTAAGTGTAAACTTCAAATCTCTTTTCGGTAAAGCAATGAATTCTTTTAATTTAAAAACCCGAAATGAAAGTAGTTCTAATAATGCGCTGTCTTTTGATCATGAATTACGACGTGTTGCATTTACACCTACTTATCTAAGTTCCTGTCCGGTTAGATGTAATGACGATTATTAAGTCGTAAGCACTTATTCATTATTATTTAATCAGGAAGTTACTTTTATTAATTAAATGCTGTTCTCCGTCAAACTTCACTGATATCCACCAACAATTCCTATATGCAGGATTTATGTGGAAACAGCATTCTTCATTATGCAGTAAACAGTCTGGATGCTGATCTTATTGAGGTAATTTTTATTTTTCAATATATTTGAATTCATGATTTCTCATCACACAAAAAGATCTGCTTGCACATGTCTGTAGCAAAATTGGGTGTTATTTAGATAAATATGAAGCGAATTGTCTTCGAATTAAATTTATTTTCGAACTTTTTTTAATATCTTTAACATTGAAGTTGGTGGATCGCTTCTGTATATAAATGAACATTGAGATAGGCCCATTATACCATTATTGGTGCATTAATTATTCATCGATTCCAATAGATGTTCAAGTCGTGTGTAGACGAGGAAACGATTACAAAATTGGCGAATAAAGAAAATATGTGTGGTGAGACCCCATTGGAAAGCTTGCATTGTGAACCGGAACGACGTGATGAGAAACTTTGTTCTAACGTTTTCATCAGTTTGTTAAGATGCGGTGCCACTGTTAAATCTCATTGAATTTCAATTCCAGTTCATCGTATTATTGGTGTTGGTGTTACTAGGGAAAAGGAACGGGACCAGTAGTTTTGCGCTATTTAACTTATTCGGTCATACTTTCAAATCTTACTATATTCCGAGTATTTCTAGCTGGTGTTTTCATTTTAAGGTATTAAAATTAGACTTTGCGGATGCCTCTAATCATCCAGTCTTACCAGTAGTTTCCTGGTTTCGATGATAAACTTTTTGATATGTACAAATCATAATTTGAGCTTATCATTTTTTGAAATCTATTAACTTTTATACACAAAATGTTGATTTGCTATCATACCTCAGTCATTTGCGTCGTACCCAGTGATTCTTTTAATCATTTTTTTGTTCTTCGCAAGAATCATTCTTATGTTTAAATACCTGGCAATGTGGTTATGTAAGGAAAAACACTTGTTACTATTTCTGCGGTATTTCCATTATGTGTACAATTTTCGTCATTATTTTAAAGCTAAGTCATAGATATTTATGTAAAAATTTAAAGCTAAGTCATTGATATTTATGTCGTAGCTGCTATTATTGCTGACAATCCTTGATTTGAAGAATCGCAGACGCAGTGCATGGATGTTCGACTAATTAATACACACACAAAGATAGATCTTTTGGTGTGAAAATGAAAGGGACAAATTGGTCGTGTGGATGTGTCATCCATCCCACTAAACTATCTTCTAATTCTTTTGTTAAAATAAGAATTACAAACACGGCTTTTCTGCACTGTTTGGCTTTGGCGATAAGTGTGAATTATGACATACATGAAGGTTCACCTTTTTCGTTGTCATAAGGTATGTTAAATGATATTGGTAAAGATATCTGCCTAGGCATCTGCAAGTGTTTCAGGGAGAAAAACACAGAGTCTTTCTTTCCTTACTTGCTTCGTTTGCAGTGAAAAAATATTTGTAAGTTCATGGAGTATTTTTGCGTCACCGTGAAACGTTATTGAAATGTCTCGCTCTACACTACTCAACATGCCACTTATATGGAAAGAGTGGCAATTGTGGATGGAAAACCCCGCATAAACGCTGAATAATGCGAAGGATGTGAAGTTATTTGAACACCTGATTTGGATATCTTCTAATTCCTACGGTGTTCATTTGTCAGCAGACGATGTATCCATCGTGTCCAACAATATGAAAGTTTCTAAATACCAATAGAACATGAAGTTTTTCTGCTCATCTTGGAGTCTCTGCTAAGACTATAACTTAAGAAATCGAAACTATATTTTTAAGAAAGGTTTTGTTATTCTCTACCTTATTCCTTTTAGCGTTCAACATCTAATGAAGATAAAAGGAATATGGTAGCTTGCAAAGGTTTTGTGTTTATGTCGTTTGTTCTTCAACTAATTATGTATGAACTACTCTTCAACAAACGAAAGCGGAAGTAAGAGACGGATAGAGCGATGAGATCGGTAGTGAATCCGATACGCAAACTCATAATAAATTGATCTTGTACTGCCAGAGACCACAGAATCCTAGCAAATGGTTAGTTATTAGCAAAAATGTAGAAATCATAAGGATCATGAGGAAGGAAGCGTAAGGAGCAAGTTTTAGTAGTTAATGTTTTATAAATTATAATCAGATTTATTGCAGTCAATAATAACGAAATGTGTGAATTGAAGAGATCGAGGAGAATTGAGGATGTGTGAATTGAGGTTCTTAAATGTTTTATAAAATATAAATCACCCGCTTTATAACACAGCACTTCCGCTAGTTATCAGTATTTCCTTTCTCTTCCAATCAACAGCATTATAGTATCTTTGGAAGAACGGATATCCCTAAATTCGTTATTACAATTAGTTCAACTTTACCGGATTGCGAGAGCATCATTACCGAATCATACTACAATCGATCAATCAACTGATAGAACTATCAACGATCTGCATCGTCTGTTAGAAGCAATATTTTCCAGAACAGCGCTTTCATGATATATTTAATGTTGCCGCGATCTCTTAAGTTGATAATTACAACTGATGCACACGAAGAATCATGTCCAATATAACTTTTAGCAACCTCACGTTATTCAAAAAAGCTTCTTCAGACCTCAAGTCGGTTAAAATTATAAATTTTATGACAATGCCGCCCGGCTAGTTCCTCACATGCTGTATAAATGTTACTCCGGCATTATCAAAAAGCAATGTAATTATTAAAGAAATCATGACGGCTTCTGTCTTTTGATTTATCTGCAACAACAAATCATAAAAATCTGTTAAAAATCCAGTTGATGGCATTGTTTAATGTTTCTTTAGACGATTGCGCTATTCCATAAATTTAGAATCTTTTTCATTATTTTAAGAAAGAAACGAAGAACAAAATGATACCTTTGCATAAATGAGTCGTTCGAATGGATTCTACATGTTGAAAATAATGACAATTTCACTTACACTTCTACATTCAACCTCCAAATCATTCTCCACTTCTATGGTACTCGACACGCGCATCGTATATTTGTGATTTGAAATCAACATTGATTTATGCAATTGCTCATTTCTTTTGCCCTTTACAGAAAGTTACTTGGATGATCTTCTATGATTGACGATCTTTCGCATAAGACGAAAAATAGTCAACCTGGAAAGAAATTTATTGGTCTTTTTTTGATGATGGCATTTGTTGCTTTAGACAATTATAAATAAATAATTTTTACATTACCTCGAATTCTATAACTGTGGTAGAACTAATAACTTCTTAATTAGTTGCATATCTCTAGAAGGCTGTGGACAATAATTGTCATTTCATTGTTATAATTCTATGCTAGTTTTTCCAATCAAACATTTTTGATCCTCCAAATTGTTTTAATATTTCATATATAGAAAATTTATTAGCAACATTACCAAGCAAATTGACATTTAATACAGCCTTTTCTGGTGCATCAAATATAATTGTAAACGAACCTTCTCAATGCAGTGTAGTTTTGCCATTTCTGACACCCAAATATTCCATTAATCTTTTTTGGGCAAATGGTTGATAGTTTAAGCGATTTTTTTTTATTTAGTTATAAAATTCTTATCGTCTATCTAAACATAGGTAGTTAGTTTCTACGTATGCCATTTTGATATTGTAAATTTTATTCAGGTCGACTTCTCTTTGACGACAAAGCACTAGCACTTTTATTTGTATTGAGGAATGATCAGACTTTTTTCAAGATTTTTTAGATGATTGTAAATCCAATCGCTAAACGGCTAATGTTACTAGTGTTTGAAAAGTTTTTTTTAGAGAATAATATATTTAAATGAATGCAACTAAAACGGATATCATTTCTGGACAGGAAAATATCTAGAAGAATAAAAGAAATTTAAATAAACTTAAAATTACAAGCTATACTGCAAGTAAGAGAATTGCTCTGATATAATCGAATACGCGAGTAATTCAATTGTTTTAATCTTCTGATGACCACTTGAAACTCATTTTAAGTAAAACTTGTTCCGACATTTGTTTAAATTCTTGGCTTAAAAACCAATAAAGTATTCGGTACTAAAAAGGGACTAAGAAAAAAGATGACTGCATTTTCAAAAAAAAAGTTACAATGACATGAGGAATGAACAAAGCATCAAAAATTCTGAGAGATTTTTTTCACATTCCTGCACGCACAATATTCATAATAATTTCTTGTCTGATAGTTATAATTTCCTTTTTTTCAATTTTTGAGAATCTTTACATTTTGAAAACTTTTGTCAGTCTTCATGGATGAATGTGAAGTTTTTAGGATTTATAATTTTTGCTTGGCCTAACTCTTCACTGTTTATGCTTGCCTCTTGTGGCAATCAATCCATGAAAACACAGAGAAAAAATTTTAAGAAAAATGAACTGCATATTTATTAAGAGAATTTGTAACTTGCTTATTTCAATTACATTGGATCATTTCTGGTAACTCATAACTTTTTCCTTGTCAAACTTGCTACTGTTTTATGTATGATATTAGCAGCGATGTAAATTAAATTCATTCTCATGTTTAAATTTCGTTAGTGGTTAGTTTAAATTTAATTGATAAAATTTAGCTTGCTGATAAAACATGCGACTAATAAAAGTGATTTTTAATCCTATAATTATTGAAATCATCTGTGTGAAACTTCGGCTATTTGAAAAACTGTTTTCAGAAAACTGTAAGATCGTCAAGTTTGGCATGAATCGGTCTAAAGTACAGTAAATTGGTTGTCAAAAACTATTTAGGTAGATTAAATTAATGTTGAATATTTGGATAAAATAAATGCATAAAAACAAACAAACGCAAAATTTAGAGTCATATGGCCGAAAATTAGACAAACTTTATTATTTATATGTTAATGGTTGAGATCAGTACCAAAGCTCATGGCACATAAACATGGCAACATTGGTGATGATAAGGAAAAGACAAATGGTAAGCGAAATGTTCTCCAGTCTTCTGATGACCCTTTTCCAGTAATCCGGTAAGCAATGTCTCCTTTGAGCTTTTTCTTTCATTTGTATGAATTCTCTCATCAAATTAACGAGTAACTCGATCCGTTGAGTGTTTATAGATGGTGGTGCATCAGCAACCGCTTCCGATATTGCTGTCTCTTGGTGACATTCCGTTATGTTTACCTGAAGAAAGTTCGGAATTTTCTGTTCAAAATAAAAGAATTAAATCTTTTCTATTGCAATTAATCTCTGTCTTCTTAGCAAGTAAGTTGTTACGACAATATTTTGCCTGAATTATTAAAATAGCCGACCCAAATCTTAAATAAAAAAATTTTTTTCAAATGAAATGCTTTGCTGCGAAATTACCTAGGTTGGCAGTATTAAATACTTGCCTCGGTAGGAATTATATCCCGAAATGTGAAGCTATCGGAGGATGAACTGACAAAACGTGTTGTAACATCATGATTTCGTTTGATGTCCTCATTGCCCGCTATCCGGAATTTTTTCGGCACATAACAGCAGAACAATCTTTTAGCAGACAGAAATCGTAACCACCATGGAATTGCCTTAATTATAATGCAAAATTACACAATCCCTTATTATCTGTTCTGATTATAGTATTATTTTGCTTCTGCTGATGGAGGGAGTAAATAATGCACAAAATGATTATTCTATCAAATATAGATGTTATTGCGAAAGGAAGCTGAAAGCATCTACCTCAATGTATTGGTTTCGTAATGCATACTTCTCTAAATAAACAAACATTGAACTGGTGCAAGTAGCGATACTTATAATAACCATTTGTACCATATGAAATATAGCTAAAATGTTGATATCAAGCGTAAAAATAAAGCATAAGCCGATAATTTTTGTTATTTGAAATGTTACAAATTTCTGCATAAATGAAAAGACCAACCAAGCAAAGGTACATCACAAAATGAGCCTCTCTGTCCAGGAATTGATTCCGGCGCAAATTTCATTTCATCAGCTAGCAACAAAAGCATGACAAACATACTTAGCAACGTTATGATTCCCAAACGAAATTTACTTTCGTGTCGACTAATAGCATTTAATGGAGTATGAAAACCAATGATCGCTATAAGACTTACCTAAATGAAGCATTTGGTTTTATTTTGGCAGTATTTTTTTTTAAATAAGATAGCTCAACCTTGAAAATATTCTAATCATTAATGCAGGCAAGGCAACTCTATTAAAATTATTATACGATGAAAAGCTTTTTATGTAAACAATTCAAAATAACTTTTTATAGTGAATATTTATGAGTTCTTCATTTACAAAGGAAATTTTATAATAAAAAAAAGTTTTACAAGAGAACTTCCTTACCAGAGTGGTCGGAAAGACGAAATTAAAAACGTAATAAAACGACTGTCTCCGAAGAATCAAAATCATATAAATAGTTGAAAAAGATTCGTGCTCGACATATTCCATTGTGCCTATAATTTGTTTATACATTTACTGAAAAATTTTAATCGAAACATCTTTGCTGGAAAAACTTTAATATTTGAATAATTTCAAGATTAATTGCTTAGTAATGCAACAATTGTGATTAATCAACAGAACAACGTAAAAATATCATATCAATTAAATAAGAGAAGCAAAAGTTTATCACAGAACATAACCATTGTGTATAATAGCATTTTCTAGTAGCCATTCTTGACTGTCGTAAAAATTGTCGAGCAACACTTCTCGTTGATCAACAATCAAACTTACATATTCATATTGATATGACCATGAACCACACTGAAAACGATCTTTTTCATCAAAAAATTCATTTGTTGTTAGTCTTTTTTTAATAATCCGAATGAGTGAAATGAATGTGAGTCACTCCTAACTGAAATTATGGAATGACGGTGACACAACGGATAAAGCTACAGCTGAGAAAAATACGACAAAATAAAATGTTTTGAAGTAACTAATGATATGAATTTGGATGCTCCATAATAAAGATTGCTTTGTCAAAACCTTTTCGATATGACCAAAGATGTAAAACGTCGAATTGATTAAAGAAATGGGAAAGCTAAAACTATGAAATGTTGAGAAGTGATAATCATTCTACCTTATCTTTTGGAAAAACCAAAAAAGACAAGAAACAATCAGTTTCAGAAGCAGACAAATTTTCGATTTAAAAATTTTATCAGTTTACAGTTCATGTTAACAATGGAATAGAAAACATTTTAACAACCTATTGAAGACAACCGTTGTAGATGGTTAGATTACCAGGTAATACGTAAAAAGGCAGTTTCAATTACAAAGATAAACTATAATAATCTATTAGCTCGCAATATTTAAAATATAAGCAGGGATAATCGATGGTTCAGTACAAGAGTTATTAATTGCCGGGAATTTATTTCCAAAAGAACTGGAAAGAAATTACTCAGACTTTAGGGAATAATTAGTAAGATGACGAAAGATAACAGACAATATTATTTATTAATATGCGTATACTATTAAAGAAAAAATCAATTATCTGTTCTGGTTGGATAATCCGAAGTTATTGTAAAAAAGTGAAAAATTTTTAATTCGTGTATTAATGATTATTTTGTCAAAAGCACATGTTATTTAGTACAGTGGAATTTTTTTAAAATATTATGTCTGTGAAATTTGAAATAGAAAAATGTCCAACATTGTTCATTGAAAAAGATGAAAATAATGGTGTCTACCAGGATAGGGAATATTTTTAAACAGTTCGAATACACAGAAAGATAAATATTTTGGGAATTGTCACAAATTAAAACATACAGACCATGGAAAAGAACGAAAACAGTGTAGCAGAAATTGAAATTGTTTGAAATATTCGAAAATTTAAGAACAAATGTCAAATTAATGGATGCCATCATGTTAGACGATAATCGAATTAAAGTAAAATAATAAGAAAGTGTCATGAAGCACTACGATTCAAAATTGATAAAAGTGCGTAATATTTATCCTAACAATATCAGAAGAGAACGGAAAAATAACTGGAGGTAGTCGAGAAAGATAAATGAATAACCAAGTAACAGATGGGCACCGCCTAAAAAATCATTTATAAGTGAATGCATTATTGATTCGTAGGTTTTGAATAAAGGACATAGCAATAACTTCTAAAATTTCGGTCAAAACAACCGATGAGCTTGTCAAAACGACCTGCATTCTTAAAATATTGATTACTTCTGGACTTCTCTAGAATTTAAATTAATAAAGATTTTGGATAAGTGGAAGTGAAAGTATATTTGATTAAAATTTAACAAATATAATTGTTCTATTTTTTTTGAAAGACATCCCAAACATTGCTGAATTACAGTTTTGCATTAGTGAAACAACAAGAGTGAATAGTCATTTCACACAATATACTATGCATTTATACATTTCATTACCCTGAAGAAGAAATAGTAGTTAGACTTGGATCTTTCATATTTTCTCCCACAATTACAATAGTTTTCTTACTATTTAAAATTATTTTTCTGCTCCTGATTTGGAAAAAAACGAAAGATCATACATGTGTTGTTTACCTCGCACGATAACTAGCTTGATATGCTCGGTTATTTATTTCATTTTTATTCTTTCAATCTTTAACTTTTAATTAAATTTGCAATCCACTTACCGCAAATGTACAATTCTGTATATCGAATGGAAAATATTTAACGTTGATGGGACATAGAGCACGCGCAGTAACAGGAATAAAAACTCGCAAACGACCATTGACACTAATTTCTGCCGCTGCATCCGGTGCATAATCCAAAATTTTACCATGTATACTGAAAATTATTAATGTTATAATATATGTGTTGTTAAAAGTGACTAACATTATTTAGGAAGTTCACGCAAAATTTTTTATTGCTTTAGTTAAAGTTAAATGTGAGATAATACAAATATAATACCTTATCTTTCTAAATAAACTTTAACAGCTCAAAAAATTTAGCTCAATTTCTTCCTATTTTTATTATTCTTCGGTGCTTCCCATACTGATATAACTAATTAAATCAAAGGATTTGATTGCTGACTTCGTTCTCATGTATTTTTGTTCATATTGTCTATTCTTGCTTGGTATAGCTGATGATAATATATAATAAATCCAATGCTGCCACGTTTTGAAATACGATCGACTTGATCGTTTTTTGAGTGCTGTTTGAAGTTAATTGAACAGATCCGTTGTTTTTGCCAGTACTTTGTTTGAGAGAAAGATTATTGCTTTTAAATCTTTTTAACAATTCACTGTTTTGAAATCATTTTAATAGTGAAAGATAATCAAGACATACCTGTGATATAAATATAGCTCAGGTTTCCAGAACCATTTCGATGGTATGAATGTTCTTGTTATATTATTAAATTCACTAGCATTCCACCTTAATGAGGGATCAATCCACCATATATGGAGATAGCCAGATATTGTCGCTATATTATTTCGATGATCCTAAATCATTAAGATAAATAATTTTCAAGCACTGTAAGAATTGCTATTATCTTTAAAAAAAAAAGCTTAATTTCAAACGCATCATTTATAAAAAATTCATAAGTATAGTTTAAATCCTTAATTGATTTTGAAAAATCATAAATCCTCCAATTTGTTATTAATTTTAATTTTTTCCAGCTCAATCTGTCATCATTTCCGAGCTTTTTCCCTGATAAATCATTAAAATAGCCCATGATTGTGACTCATTTCACACTTCCTTCAAACTCATCGCATCTTTCTATGTCTATCGTATCCTTCACTCTTGCGCATTTAATAGAGCATTACTTATTTATAGGTGGATAATAAAAAACGAACTAAGTCAAAAATTTGGTATAATGCAGCTCGGACATGGATTTCGGTAGGTGTGTGAAAATTCAGAACAGGTCGTTGGAACGGTCGTGCAGCTGTCTTAATTTGATTCAAGAGACGTGTATGCGCATCTGCAGCCTTTCTTTCGGAATAATCGGAATAATTCTCACCGCCAATACTACTTGTCCCATTAGCTAACATACTTGGTTTTCCAAACTTGTCAAACACTATGTCATTTTGTTTCGATCCCATCCACGCTTCTGATAAAACACCATGATAACTCACTGCAAATTCCTTTGGAAATTATTTTTAAAATAGTCAATAATTTTTTTAGCAAAATAAGCTGCTTGTTTTATTTATTTCCTCCATCCATACTTTTTTATTTTAGTATCAAAAGAATGAATGTTTTTTCACCGCTGCTACTGAGATCATAAGCCTGAGATAGAAGACGCAAATGACTGACGTTGCACCGCAATAATTTGTAAGAAGCTGTGCGTAATGACATATTCCAGGCTCATTAAGAGGCCGACGAAGCCGGATTTCAGAATAACTGATGTCCACTGTTGATGTTGCGAACAATAAATTTTGATAAATTCATAATCAATATCTGAATTGCGGAAAATGGAATACTGTGAATTAATCAAAATCACTAGACAATTTCTATCTCATATTGAAAAACAATAGAATTTTACGAAAAATTAAAAATGGTTTTGACATACACGGCAAGTTCTCATAAAAATAATGACGCTATTGATTCAAATGTACATTGTAGTTATTATGACATCTCGAATAATCCTAACATGCATCTTTTGCGGTTAATTATAAAAAAGTATGTTGATGAGATGGTAAAGAATATTGTTTTGAAAATCGCATTAACAATGCCAAATAATTCTTAAAGTAAAGGAGACACATTGAATTGAACTGATAACTTTAAAAAGTTATTTTTCTATTTCGCTGTTTTCTATTTTGCAAGAAATCAACAGAATTACAAAAATAAATGTAAAACTTTCACATAAAAAGTGCACAAAACAATTAACTACACTTACTTATTTCTTTACATTTTAATTTAAAGAAAACTACATTATGTGTGGGTTGGAAAAATAAACGTACGAAAAATGCAATAGAAATTCTAATTAAAAATGATATAATGGAAGCGTAAATTTCTTATACAATTATAAAATAACTTCCATTGAAACAGTAAGCGAAGCAGAAATTAAAAGAAAGTTATGATAACTATTATTTATGTGAATTAAATGCAACGCTATTGAAAAAAAATTAGCAAATTTTTTAAAACTTACTATTTTACGAATCACTTAACAATATTTTGCTTCTATCATTAGCCTTTGACCTTGCTACATAACTAGCTGAAATAAGCATTAAATCACTTGAGCATTAGTTAATTTTGCTCAGAAATATTAAAATGGAAATAACAACAATAATTTAAACTTAGCTAAACAATTTGATTAGTTCTTGGCGAGCCTAACTATTTATAATCACAACCAATTTTTCTTTGGAAGTTATATTTTTATTTTTTTTATCGGGTAGCACATCAAATTTAGAATATTATCATCTTATAAGAATATTATTCCATCAAATAATTATTCTATATAATTAAATTTCGATTTAGTCAATTGATTTACTAAGGAAAATATTTTGCTTAAAGAAAACAAAATACATATTGAAAACAAATAAACGATTCTTCAAAACATGCATGCTTATTAATACTATTTAGTAAATTTATCAACATTATGAATGTCTTTTTAATTTGACTAATTACTATGATAAGTTTTATGAAGTGACCCTTTTAAAAATCACAGTGTTGCAATTTTTTTGCTTCCTTACTTTCAACAGTGATCATGGCACTTTTTTCCTTTTTTGTAATTTATACGCCAAATTGACTTATTAATATTTCAGAAGTGAAAAACTATTGCATTTACTTTATGACTAAAGAAGGAGTCTATCGTTGTGAATTAAAATATGAAATTGATTTAAAATATGAAATAAGAAATTTAAATGAAATTATTATTCATTGGATAATGACAGAACTACAGAAAGACATACTACGTTTATTCTTCTTTTACAACAACTCACAACATTGAATATTCTTTTTTGTGTTGCATTAATTATGTGAACTGAAGAGAAACCCCAATTTATGATTAAATGAAAATGAAAAATATAATAATGTCAATTAAATTGTTTTTGAAATATAATTAAACATTCATTTTAAAATTATAACAGGCTGAATTTTCATGAAAGATGAACGAAATGAACTCATTTAGTATTATTAGATATTTTAATTTTGCAAAAAAATTACAGCAAGCATTGCATAATTCAGTTGCAAATTTTATTGAAATTTAAGCAAAAATTTATAAATTCAAAAATTTTTATTTTCCAATAAAAGATAGACAAAATAGGAAATAGGAGAAGAAAAATTATCTTCACTATTTTACATGAATGGATTCTCTTCAAGCGTATATACATATTTTTCAAAAAAGCTCACAAAACAAAATTGTGATAGAAGAAAATTGAAAGATAGAAAAAGTGTACAATATGTACGCGTACAATCATTGTCAGCCATCCGCTTAACTGCCAAATTTACGAATACTTTTTACTCCAGAGAATACTTTAAAAGCCAATAAATTCAATGCATATAATGTTTCGAGATACGTAGTGAAGATGTATTGTGCATTTCTGGCTATAACCAATAAATAAGCTAGCGTCCTTGCACACTCAGACTCATCACTTTATTTAAATGCATGAGTGGATGTTGATACCCTGAAGAATTGAAAATTTTTGAATATTTGAACTCCTTTGAAATCACAACATATTATATCACAAATCTTAAATTATTTTCACCATTGGTTAGAAAATTTTATTAAAAAAAGTTTTGCACTTCATTTTAAAGTTGCAAAAAAATAAATAGTAAAATTGTAAAATGATGCTTAACATCTGAATTATATTTCTATATCATTTAAGAATTTGCTTACAACTAACAATATTTTAAAGAAATATATGCGTAAAATTATTTTATTCAATTTGCGTTGTTTATTCAGATTTTTTTGCAATAAAATTTTTAATGACATTTAAAAAAGTATAAGAATCGATGAATCAGAACCCATTTCAATATTTTCTTTGAAGATAATAAGAAAGCAAGTATGGGCAAGCAATGATTTATGATTAACTGCATTTCTTCATCGGATCCGATCGTTGGATTGTTAAGTCGGCCCTCAATTCACCGAACCATTATTTTGACAGCAAAGGCAACATCAACTTAATTAACTTATCAACTGATTTACAAACGCTCAAAAATCATTTTTTTATTCAAGTGAAAAGTTCTCTCCTTTCTTGATTTTTTTGTTTCAGGATTTTCAAGAAAACATCAATTTTAATTTATCATGAGATAAGTTGCTGGTTAATTTTAATGCCAGTATATCCTTTCTTTCCAAAAAAAAATCGTTTTTCCATTTTAAACTGGTACTTACTTTTATTTATTTATTATTTCAAAATTTAAGAGGACAAGATATGCTTAAATAGCAAACCTTGCTTATGTAGAATTCTGACACTAAAATTTATCACTGAAATTATGAATTTCCAGATGGAAACAATTTGCTGAGAACTATCACAGATGTCAGAAACAAGAGAAAAGTAATATTCAACTGATAAGTTTAACTAGGCTGAAAATTAACTTTTATAATTCCAAATTTCGTTTTTGATTTGTTAACTGGAAAATGAATAGTTCAATAAGTGGGTAACAACTAATATATTTATATGTTTCCCTTATTTTGATATCAGTAACTGAAGAGGCATTGAAATGAGATATAGAAATGTTTGCAGGCTGCTTCCATCAACGATATTGACAGCTATTTGGTGGAGAACGACCATTGTCCCACTTCGGCATATTATTGTCAATGCGTAAGTGTAATTTAATTCCGAAGGGATAGTAAAGCGAGCGTGATTTGAAATGAAAATACTTTTTATGCTAATCTTAGTGCATGCGAAGCAACATTTAATTCTATTTTTTACCAGCTGTCTGTAATTATGGTCCCTTCAAAAAAAGGATAATAATTGCATCAAGCTGTCAAAATAGCAACCAATTACCACATGAATTATTTGCTACTTTAAGAAATATTTTGCTTCCTGTGTGAGAGAAGTGGAATAAAAATGAATTTCTATAAACGTTAAGAATGAATAGTTTGCAGAAAAGAAAGTTAATTAATTGATTTAGTTTTGTGAAACGATCCCCATTTGAAGATGATCGACATTTAATTACACCAATTACATTTCCTCCATTTCTTCTGATATGGAAATGTAAACGTTTCTGAACTATAACGCATATTTTATTTAATTCTTCTTTATCGAGTCAAGAATGCATTTTCAAATATGCCTTTTTACAACATGAATATCAAAATTCTTCCATACATCATAAAAAGACAGAAATATGAATGAAGAAAGCAGTTTTTCTTTGAGATGTGCATCTTTTTTCTCAACGTGCGCTATTTTAACTCATCCATGCTGAGCTTCCTGATGTCATGATTATATTGTTTGTTTTTTGTTAACTATATGAATAGTCTATAATTAACATTTGCTTTTTAATGTGGATAAATTCGTTAAAAATCAGTGTTATTTCAATTTGTTCTAGAGAAGGGTTTCTATAAAGTCAGCTAAAAGTTTGATTGGTAACGACATTGTGCATCACCGAAATGATTGATAATGCGGATTTCTTAATGATAATGAGATCAGTTATATACTGTGCACAGCTCTAGAACTACAAATTTTAATGCACTCTTCTGTATGTATATAAAGTTGAATGTTGGAGATGCGGGAGAAACGTTTAGATATTATGCATATTAAGTTTAGTACTGTCACTTTCTTTGGTTAGACAGTCACTGATATTTTAATTAAGCCGAAATTATTTCGAACACACAAAGCTTTGGGTACTTATCTTTTTCATTCTAATTTGAGTGTACGTGTATGCCATTGTGCCAACCAAATTCTCCCTCTATGAAAGATCACACTTTCCAGATTATTACATTGAGCACTTTAATAACAAAATGTTTCACACGGACCATGGTATACTGCTGTTGCTGCTTCCGTTGGAACTACTATGGTAGCATTCTTCTATATTCCACTAATTATTACGAATAATAATTTTCCCCCAACGAGGGGAAAAAATTCATCCTTACGTCGTAAAGACTTCACTCATTCCGCAGAGAGTCCGGTTACAAAACTCTAAAGGTTATAAAATAAGTAAGATCATTACTGCTCATTTTCGTGCGATTGAAAAAAATTGTCGCGAAAGGTTCTGCATCTCAAAAAATGGATTGCTGATTCCGATTAGAAAACTCAATTTGCAAATGATTGTTTGAAGTTCCTTCATTTATCTTCGAAATTAAAGACAAAGAAACTACTTACAGTTGAAGTTGATTTTGATGATTTCCGCGTTATTGAGAATGAAGCTTGGGAACAGCTAGTTGATGCTCGAGGACCAAACAGAGGAAAAAGAAAAGTGCTTCATTTCTACTGATTACTTTTCGAATCCGTTATATTTCTCGATGGCCTTGGCAAGAAGAAGTTTCCCATCACTGAAATGATTGCCATTCATTCGGTACTTCACCCAATGGCCGGTATCTGGATTCATTGCCATGAGTATCTATTTTGCCTTGTCATTTCATATAAAACATGATTAATTGCAGTATGGTTCGGAACAAAAAATTTATCCACTTAAAGACGAATATTCCAAAAAACCGGTACAACAATCAATTTGAATACAACAATCAATTTTTGATACATTACTTTTACATATGATTATATAGCTCTCGCTTTCCAGATTTCATTTAAGGTTAGTATTGATTTAATGGAGCACAAAAATTTAGTGCAACATTCACAAAGGTTATTGTTTTCTCCAGTCCTCATATCTGATTTAAATTTCAGAGTGCCAAACATCGAACGTCTGCCCTCAGGAAGAACTGGTTTGCAGGTAGGATATATCTCCCTTTAAGTTTATGCCAGGATTTTAAACAAAAAATATGGGATTGAGTTGCAGGTGCCCTTGGAGTAAATGGCAAAATTGGTATACCCGGCAAACCTGGCAAGCTAGAACCTGCTGGATTAAATGGAACATATGATCAAAGAAGTCTACCTGGGAAAAAGTCTACCTCGGTAGGACCAGACGGTCTCAAAGCATATCCCAGATTACCAGGGCAAAGAAGAAACTGATATTTATTATATTCAAAAAATAACGAAATCAAACACGGAATCCACATATGGTAAAATATTAAATAAATGTTTAGGTGAAGCAGGTCCACAGGACTACAGGGTCTTCCTAGGCAGAAGAGATCAGCAGGTGTAAACAGTTGTCCAGGTATGTCATATCAAGATGCACGGTCAAGATGTTCGGAGATAAACACTGTAGGAAGCGAAAAACAAATCGTTCTGTAATCAATATTCAAAGCCAAATACTTTCATCGTACGCCGAACCATCCAGCTACTTTTCAGGTGGCGATATTAGTGATGATGGTACTCAATATAAGAATAGCAAAAAAGCTTGAAAAACTGCTTAATGTCAATGCCATTATGTTTAATAAATTTATCCGTCGCAATATTTCATACTCTAAACACATATGCATATCCACAAGATCATGAAAAGAGCAAATAAGTCGGAAAAGGAATGATAATGAATAGGCATTTAGGAATCCGAGACATGTTTCGTTTCATTTCACAGACATAGGCAACAGAATGAAATTAGTTCCTAAATAGTTCGAAACAAGAAAAGTATGTGGTATTTCTATGGAACTTATTTTCAAGCTTAATTCCATACCTTACTGTAATTATTCACACGAAGGCATTTGTTAATCAAATCATAACCGGGTGGGATGAGAAGGGAATCGACCCTGATTTTTATCCTGACTTCCGAGTTGACCGGGGTAGGTATTCAAGAGGTTGCATTTTATTTATTCCGGCATTTATTTATCCCGCATAGTCCATCTTTAGCCATCTTCTTTCCTTCCGCAGCAAAAATAATTTCTCCTTTCCTTTATCGTAAGCAATGTTGTTTACGGCGCGCCCAGTCCAAGATCTGTTTTATTCAGGCAAATCCAGCTCGAATTCAAATCCATGTCAAGTTAGCCCCGCTCCGAAACTAACAAAGCAAATCAGCGCATTCCTGCAAAACATGTCTTAAATTCCATTTTTGCCGCGTTGGAACCCCCGGTATATCACGGGTGGCCGTTGTTTATAGGACATTAAGTGCGTTCGGTCACTGACAGGGGGATCTGAGAGGTTTCGTATACATTTTGTCGTTTTGTATCTCAGTGATTGCGGTTGGATACGTAGTCAATTTGCCAAACAGAAAGTGAAAGCTGATTACTTGTTCACAACGCAAGCAGCATCATTGAGAATTCTTGGGTGTAAAAATCTCTCAACATTCTTCACTTTTACATGTCTGCTATATATTGCGGTTGTATTTGAATGGTTGCTAGATTAATTGAGGATATATGGTAGAAATGGATATTAAGAAGACACGAAAGAAATTGCTTTTCCTTTATAAGTTACCGAAATCTCCGTTGTCCACGTTTCAGCATGTTGTCAATTATGATAAGTTTTGCTGTGTGGTATTCTCGCAATACCATTACGTTACTGTAGCCATAAGCCGACGCATATTCTTTGTTGCAGACAATTTGTCCGCTGCAATGAATCTCTGCTCTGGACAACTTGATCTCCAGTTGAAGTGTTCTTACAGGATGTAGATAGGTGCGTGCTTTCCATTTTACATATGTTACTACCGTGACGATGTGTTTTAGCTCTGCGTTTTCATTTCAGAAGAATTACATAATTAATTTGGATGTCGAATAGTACAACGAACGAAGCGAAAGTATGGCATTTAGCCATTTGATTGACACTCTCACTGATTTTCCGTTGCCAGTTCTTTATGGTTTGCAGGGAGTGAAGTTATCATAGCTTGATGACAATGCATTTGCTGTTGTGGATTATTAATTTCATAATGGTTTTGTTTTTCAGATGTGATGTCATCAAACTTCAGTCCGGTATCCCCTCTGGGGCTGGCAACAAAACATGCGAATGCAGTTACAGGTGCTAATGTGAGCGCTCTGGTTCTTCCACAGTTCCGTTGTAGTCCAGGTGGCCAAACTCGATCTCAATTGTCAAGTACTGGTGCACAATTGCCTAGTCCGAACAGCCAAGTTAGGCCTCAATTGCAACCAGTTGCACAGTCCACACAACGTCCAACAAGTTCTGATGCATGCGCTACAATTACACAGTATCTGATGATGTATCATACGGTAACTATATTATTGTAGGTGTCAGTGGACTCTCAACTTTCACCATGTGGGAAGTAATCTTTACATTACATTCTTTAACATCTTCACTTGTTGGGGAAAAAGTCTTTTATCCAGTTTCCAATTTGGTGATGTGTAAGCATTTATATTTCAGAAAAACTAGATTTGCACAGTTTTAGTTAACCGCTCACAAAACTAAGCGCAGAATATACGAAGCCCAACATCTTCATAAGCGTACTTCACACCCAATTATAGGTGTGTGTATGTGTGTGTGTGTGTGTGTGTGTGTTCTACTTTTTTTAGGGGCGAGATGAAGAATTTAGTCGCAAAGCTATTGAAAGTCTGATTAAGAAATTGAAAGATAAACGTGATGAATTAGATGCACTGATCACCACTGTAACATCACATGGGAAAATTTCTCCGAAATGTATCACGATTCAGCGTACTTTAGATGGACGATTGCAGGTAACAAATATGTATATTTTCGATTTGTTCACTTTATTAGTTTTGGTTTTACATCATAATTTGGAATGCAGCAGACATCTCTTTAATTGATTTTATTGAGTTGCACATTTCCACCAATTCGTGTGTGTTAACAGTAGTTCTTTCCCTTCTTTAATGTTGTAATTATTAGGATCTGATAGAAAGTTATTAAATGTAAATCTATTGTATTATATTCATCACAGCTTTGTCTTTTTTGTTTATATAGCTAAATCTTAAAATTTGTTTAAGAATATAACCCATTCTAACTTCCTTATTTTTCGCAGGTGGCTGGAAGAAAAGGTTTTCCGCACGTCGTTTATGCACGTATTTGGAGATGGCCTGATTTACATAAAAATGAGCTGAAACATTTGCCGCTTTGTCAGTGTGCATTTGATTTGAAATGTGACCTCGTAAGGTTTCGGTACATTTTATATAATGGGAATATCAGAAAATGAATTTTGATTCTCTTCTAAATTATTTTTCTTTCCAAATGTTATTAATTCGCGAGACCATATTGCAGGTTTGCGTTAATCCATACCACTACGAACGTGTTGTTCCGCCAGGTATCGGCACCATCGATTTGTCGAATTTAAAAATTGAACATCGGTCCTCATCACAAGACGATTCAAACACACTTTCCCCGGGAAGTACAGGAACCAGCGATGATTTGTCAAAGTAATTTTTAAAAATTTATTATAATCCATAGGCAGATTTTTTTTGTTGATGTCACCGGTTTAAATGGAATATACGTTTGCTTAGTATGTTTGACTTATTAATCTTAGTACAGAGTCTGTATTCTAATCACGAAGCGGTGATTTTAGGCAGAATCACTTAGCAGAATTGTATAATTACACTTATTTGGAACTTTGTCAAGTTTTCATACTGTTAAGTGCAGTTTATATGGGTTGACGCACTATGTTTGTTATTTTGACTGGACATGAAGTTACAGGAACTCAGCGCTTAATGAGAATGACGGTTGGACTACAAAGACACTAGCATATGCGTCAACACTGCGTACTCCCAATGTCGTCAAAACAGGTATCATTGCAAAAATATTTTTTTTTTTCGTTATATTGAAAAGTATCTGTGCTAAAATTTATCCACACTATAAATCATTGTAGAGACAAGAGCATTGTCTGGTGGTGAACATGATCTATTTAGCAACACTAATGTATGTGTGATACCAAATCAGTCTACTTGGAATAACAGTGAGCAAAACGTAGTTGCTCCAGCAGTCAAAATCTCGTCACAGATTCGTAAGTGTGCTTCAATTATTATATTCCTAACCTTGCTTCATTTTTATAAAAATTTACCTGTAACTGTGTTTGTTGCTTTCCATATTTATTCACAGGTTTGAAAATTTATGGCAAGTTTCTGTTTTTTTTTATAGCAGCAGTGATAAATCCAATTCCATTTCCATCTAGCTCTATACAGTCTCAAAGCACGTTTCCAACTCCATCTGTTACTGGCGTGTTGAATCCATCGTTACAAGTATCTTCTTCATTAGTGTTCAGTAACTCGCGTGAGTTACTTTTTATATTTAGCTGCTACTTTCTTGGTGCTCACAACCACCTACGCTTGTTGAATGACAGAATTTGAAAATGCAATCTATTTTTTCGTATTTTGATATGTTTTTCATGTGTTTTTATTGAAAATTTCATTCTTTGGCTTGAACAAATAAGGCTTTCAACAGAGAGCCATGAATTCTTTTTCTGAAAGTGAAATCTGTAGAATTCACTTAGAGCAAATTTCTGTCAGTTTTTAGTAGCACAAAACACCTAAAACTGATTTCAAAATTATTTAGAAGAAGCTCAGCACCATGTAGAATCTAGAGCTCGTGACAGAACGGAACCTATGACGCTGAGTCCACGTAAGGATTCCAATTTCATTTGTTATTTTTTATAAGCATGTAAAAATCAAAGTAAAAATATCCGTTACAGCAACTTTTCATTGATAGTAAACTCATTTTTGCATTTAATTTTTATTTGCTATTAATTTGTTTCTGTTCAAGATCCGACAAATTGGTGCGTCGTTTCTTATTATGAGTTCAATACAAAAGTTGGTGAAACATTTGCTGTAAGCGCACCTGCGGTGTACATTGATGGAGGAGTTGATCCATCTGCTCCTGGTCGTTTTTGTTTAGGATCTCTTTCCAACGTGCAACGTACCGATGAGAGTGAACGGTGCAGGTTAGTTGATGCATCGTTTATTTCGTTGTGTGAGCTGTGTTCCAAAATTTCTGAACTTCTTCTAGGACATACTTTTTGTGAAATTATGCTATGAGTACTAGATAGAACTGTTTTTATTAGTGCTATTCTTGACGAGAAATATTGTATTCGATCATTATGTTGTGTATTATTAATAGGAAGCATATTGGCCGTGGGATTCGATTGGACGTGAAAGGAGAAGGTGATGTCTGGTTGACATGTTTGTCGGATCGACCAGTTTTTATTCAAAGTTCATATCTCGATCGTGAAGCCGGACGAGTTCCAGGGGACGCCGTACACAAGATTTATTCTCAAGCAACATTAAAAGTTAGTGTTTGGGAACTAATTGCAAAGATTTGTTGTGAATAGTTTTTCTAACAAAGTATTGATTGTTGTTTACACTCGATGGAACTGTTTGCTTCGAAACTTTCCATCTAGTTTTTGCTGTCTGGAACTACGGATTTCTTCTTTACTTACTGGTTCTAGGTTTTCGACTTACGTCAATGTTACCATCAGCTACGACAGCAGAATATGTATCAGTTGATTGCGGCGGAAATACTAAATAACTCATCTGATAATTCAAGAAATCCGTTGTTTGGAATGGACAGGAAGTCAACGGAACTTACCGGTCGTTTAAATCAGGTTATCTTCATTGTTTCATTTTATGCAGATATTTTGTCGATATTTCATGCAGGTTCCAGCAGTAGTGTCATTACAAGTTTTGAAACTTCTTGATTTACGTTAGGTTCGTCAGTTCTCTTAACTCTGGAATGTAACGAAAATTACAATTTTGTGCTTGTGTGGCGCATATGATGTTTCCAAATGCCGAAGTGTTAAATATCAGCATTTAGTTATTAATAATCCTTATTTCGTTATCAGTTGTAAAAGAGAATCTGATTGAATATTTAGTTTATTAATTCTTTAAAAAGCACTACTGTTTTAGGATCATTTGAAACAAACTGTTGTTTGTTTAGGCCGCAAATGTTGGTGTCGACGAATTACGCAACTTGTGCTCGCTGGCAGTATCTTTTGTTAAAGGATGGGGACCAGATTATGATCGTAAATCAATCAAGGAAACACCATGTTGGATTGAGGTTCAAATAAACAGGGCTCTTCAACTACTTGATGAAGTCCTTCATAATCCAACTTTAAAATAGTTTTTTCTCAACTCATTTATGAAATTTATTCACAATCAATATAATGTGATGTTCCCACCAATAAGCTATTGCTTTCATATGTTCGTTCGTCAGTAAAACGATATGAAGAGAAATCTCATTTTATACTTGTCTAGTTATATAAAATTTTGTATTATTTTGTGGACTTGTCATTTTGAACGAAAGGAATAGAAAATATGATGCAACAGCTCTTGCCATAATCTGTAAAGCTCTTTTAAAGAGCGTTTTCCAAACCTTACAGTTCAGGCAACCAATCTTTTTTTTACGAGTGTTTCTTCTTTCTTTTTGTGCCATGGTACGAGTGTGCATACATATTGGGACGCTGAAGTCCCAATATCAGACTTTTCATTCATTTTTGCTTTTTTTTCGTTAGCATTTGCTTTTATTTTTATTTTTTGCTGCATGGGAGCTGAAGGAATTTATCTGCACAAAGGCTAGCTTTTTTTCAGAGTCAGAAGTTGCTAGGTTACATTTCTAGTATGAAATCCATTGTCATTTGAAGATCATTCAACAGATTTTACTGACATTGAAAAATAGTTCAGGAATTATCAATGTTTTTTCCATAACCGAAGAATCGCATTGCTGTCGATAATTGATCAGAATTTTCCTGAATGAACAAACATGGAGATAAACGGAATAATTTGAATATTGCAGTACTTATCCTTTAGTGTGAAACGATAAAGATCACAAGGAACGTAGATGTACTGATTAGCTTCAAAATGTTTATATCTAATAGGATCACTTATCGATTTTAACACTACTTATGACTGCTTTTGTCAACAAAATAAATTTGTGATGCGGAAAAAACTAGAACCAGCGATAAAATTAAACAGATCATTTCGCAATGAGTTATAGTGCAAATTGTGCCCGACATATTTTAAAAGATGTTAGCACTTGTGATCTACACCGAGTGATTCATCCATTTGTGTCAATCACTGAGAAGCTTTCAAATATCTTAGTTTTTTCTCCGAGATTTTTGCATGCTTGTAGGTCATTTGAAAATGAAGAAGGCGAGCACATACGGTGTATCGTACCCTATGGGTCACTTTTCGTTAATATCTTTCGTATTCTGCAGAGGCTATATTCTGGTGGATTGTGACATGCGTGTTACAATGCAAACATAAGCAGCCTAAATCAGTACATATTTGAAAAATAATTATTTAATTGTTTTGTTTTACTGATAAATGATGAGATTAATTGCAATTCAATATATAACTGCAAGTTGTTTAACTCTCCCTGGAAGTGTTTAAAATGACTTCAAATTTGAAATGAGTAGAGATTAAAATAATGCAAAAAACAAAGAATATATAAATAGACGAAAAAATATATAGATACTTTCATTTTGCTAAAATGAAACAATTGTATAATAATCTATTGGCACTGCAAATTGCATGCTTTTTAAAACAATTGAAGGAAATTTGCACTTTCATTTTGCTAAAATAAAAAACTGTTGTGTAATGATTGCATGCTTTTTTTAAAAAACAATTGAAGGAAATCTGCACGACTCAATTTCCACATCGATGTGACCTGTTTTGAAGCATTGTTACTTACACATCACTATTTAAAATTTCAGTTTTTTGACTGAAATTCGAGAAGTTAAGAAAACTCTCAACGATTCCCTTATAAAATTGAGAAAACCAGTTTGAAAAGTACTATTCGATTGAAATAATTCATCGTTCAGAAACTGTGCAGAATGTCTGATGCTTCCATCTATCTAAAGAGACAAATGAAATTGGTAAGCAAACATGCCAGAATTGAAATTGTGTTTTTTTTACGCGGAGTGAATTGTTTTTTAGTGAGTGGATTGTTGCAAACTGAATTCGATATAATACAGTTATCAAGTTATCAAGTCCATTACGGATATTGACACAGTGAAATTAGTTATGAAACACAAGCAAGAAAGTTGTAATACATTAATCAGACAATAAAATCTAATTATCAGTTTAATTATTCGATCAAAACGTTGTTTCATGGAAATGATCCAATCACCCCATTGATTTAATGATTTACATGTTTGCAATTTCGCATTTTATGTTACCCGCATGCATTTCGTGAGAGATAAACGAAAATAAACAATTTCACATTTCAACTTGCTTCCGTTCTGGTTATCACACACTTTTAAAACTTCAAATTCGAGTAATTATGAACTACGTGAATATCATGGTGCTACCAAAGACATCTCAGCGTTACTTTCAGATATACTATATTTTTAAGGGTAGTCAACTGATAAGACTTAAATACTGAGATCATTGCTTTTGATAAATAACACCAAACAAGTCAGGAAAAATTTCAAAGAATTAACTCAAATTCCTCAAAATTAAAGCAAACTCTATTTTGCAGCTATGCTTTTCATATACAGCAAAATCATTTTAGCATAGACTTCAAACGCAGAAAAAAAAAATTTTTCTTCTTCCTCTGCTATGAAATTTTTATAGTGATAATTCTGATAGTGATTTTGATAGTTTGGAATGTAAAGAAAGGAAAACATCCGAAGAGAAAATATGCCGAAGAGAGCTTACTTTTCTTCAATGAGTTGAGTGGTAAAGTTCCTTCTGATGTTGAAATGGACATTTCTTGCACAGATAAATTGCCATCTTGTTTGAAATTCCAATTGTTTTGAGATTAAAGATTAATCAACTATAGCATCACTATCAATTAAAAAGAAATAATACGCTTGAAGATACTAAGCTAGTTCATTTCATGTATTTGTACATTTCATGTATTTTCATGTATTTGTACTTTGGTCATTATCCGAATCATCTCAAAGGATTATTTTCAAACAAATGTCCATACTGAGAACCAGTGACGGAAATTATCATTAAAAAGATGACGATTCACTGATTCAAGCAGAATAAACTCCGATAATTACATTTTCTTTTATTTATGACCATCCAATAAATATTCATTTTTCTTTTTAGGAATGAAATTCCATTTATGATGATGCAATTATAGCCAATATAAATATTCATCTCTCTCCTTCGCCCCATTAGCTCTCATTTTCGTTGCTCTTCTGTTTGATATTAGCGCAGGCTGAGAGTTTCTTTTAGCGGTCCTCTCACTTTGCAGAACTCTTACGATGTTATTCTTCAGCTGTTCTTTGATCCTTCCATGAGCGATTAATCTTTTGACTTCGCTCTTTATTATATCACAAATTTCAGTAAAGCTAATTGTAAAAATAGCGATGAAAGAGTAAGGTTTTTTTTCAGACCAAAATTAATATACAGAATTGATACGAATATTAAGAAAGCAGTGAATTCAACGCTCCTCACTTCACAGTAAGGAAATTTGTCCTTTCTTCAAGATGTCGGCTGTTGAATTCTTTGCTCACATTGCAAGCTTTTTGATGGAATAATTTATCTTTTTTCACATAATTGTCGGTTTGCTCAGACTTCATTAAGTCAACTTATTTTACAAGATGAATTTAAAAAGAAAAAACATGAAAAGGAAAAATGAAAAAGAAAAAACGAACTACGAAAAAATGAAATGAAAATAAAAACATTTACGAGTTTGTTTCACCGTCGCAAATAATTTGTCAACTGATCCATTAGTAAATCTTGCACTTCCTTAAATAGTACTAAAATTATGACATTCATTTTCACTGTGATCTTGGAATCAGAAGGTAATAGTTATACACAGAGAATGTCACAACAAATTTTTCCTTTGTAATTCAAAACGGTGAGGGAGACAGTTTAATTGCAAAACTATTAACTCGTTTTTTAAAGGCATAAAAGGATCACACCAAAGATGAAAGAGATTTTATTGCAATAGCAAAATTGCACGTGGCCTTTCCAGAGGGTGATGTGCTCACTTTGAAATCGGCTTGTCTTTCTTCCATCATCGCTGGATTCAGCTAGAATGACGGAATGTAAAAAAAAAACAAAGGATGATTTCATGGACTTGCTGCAGTAATAATATTGGCTTAGCAGCTTTCCCGAATGCTTTGTAACAAATCGGTGAAACATATGATTTACCTACCATCCAGACAGCTTCTCACTGCGCTTCATTCCATCATTAAAGGATGGCAAGCGTTATCCCATTATTTCCCTCCTAGTTATTTCACGCTAAGCGCAGTAATTTCTGACATCATGAGACATTTCTCAGGTGTATGTGAACACCTACAACCACTCGTCTGTTTTTCACAGTCCAAAATTAAGAATTTATGTGGATTTTAAACCGATTTTCAAAATTGGTTTGAAAAAAATCTTCCGATTTTACGAGACAAAACTTGGGAAAAAAATATGTCATTTTCCAATAAGTCGCGAAGGCTATCTGGTCATACTGCAGAATGTACTCCTCCTCAAAATGTCGTGACAGCGCAGCACGTCGACATTCAATAAACAAGCATTGCAAGCAGAGCTGCTTTACCTCAGGCTTTTTTTTGATTTCGATTGCAGGATTTAGTATGCTAGCATATAATTTAAGTTGTTGCTGTTCGTCTATCGATTTCTTTAAATCGCCGTTGCTCACGGAAGTAGTATTCAAGTACACTTAAAATCATTTTTTTCGCAGACTCCTGTTTCGTTCAGTGAACTTCGCAACTGTGATTAATTAACATGCTGATTATTAGATTGATTTATTGTGCCAACAAGTACCGTAGCACTCAAGAATCTGCACTATTTTTTGCAATATCTATGTCGAAAATGGGAATGATAACAGGTTGTATTGCGTCTGAAATATTTATCAATCCCTTTTATCTTCCCAACGCTCATAACAAAAGTTTTTCTCTTTGCAAAAGATAAATAATATTTACTCTTCCTTCTCCTTACTTAGTATTCCAATAAAGCTAAAATTAAACGGACTTCTGCAATTTTCTCTGATTAGTAATTATTGGAAAATCTATTAAATTAGGTTATTTTACCTCCAAAAATTTCATATTTTCTTTGACATTGGATCTTTGGAATTAGAATCCTTAACAAAAATGTTAGCAGATTTTTTCACTCTTTCTTGCATTTTTTTTCTCATTCAAGAAATGCAAATATTTATTTATAGTGTTAATGTTCCATTACCTTCCATTTATCTTCAATCTTTTTACAGGCGTAGGATGATAACACTAGCCAATAACTCGTCTTACGATGAAATCTTATGGTGAAGTTTGCCATAAGATCCATCCGATAAACAATAACGTAAGTAACAATATGTACGGCTTTCAGAATGGGAGATTATAAGTCAACTTTTCTTTTTGGAAAGATAACTGCTGATTAGTGGAAAATTAAAAGTAGTTATCCTCGTTTCGAATTAAATTACATTAAGGTTTTATTATTTTCTGATGAATCACTTCATTTCATCAAATTTATTTCTTAACTTTGAATTTTCAAAATAGATCACTGTGTCTTGACGGAAATGTTGCAAATTTCTGATGTTTTCCAAATCATAAAACATATCCCAATTGCTTTCAAATTGAAGTATTGTGGTGTTAAATTGTTTTTTTCTCTATGAAATATTTTGAATGCACATTTTTCAAAAATGTCTGGTTTTTCTATCATTTACTTCTCTGAGTGGTGCAGTAATGTGCATTGAAAGCGACTGCATAAGAGCTTCATGGTGGACGCTGATGGTATAGACCGATTGCGAAACTATTCGGAACAGTTCTAGTCAATTTCATCACCCATGGCATCGGTTCTTTATTTTTCACCGACATTTTTTTGTTATTATTTCACAAAAAGATGAATGTTTCAAAAACTGAAGTGGAATATTGTAATATTGTAATGAAACTTTCCGATGGAAAAGTTCGTAAAGCAACCTGAACAAAATGTTCGGTATTTTCTCAGAACGCACAGGGTTAACTGATAAGAGTCAGGAGCTGAACTATAATTAGAAATAGCCTAAATTTCCTCCCACCAAATAAAATCGATAAGAATGAGTATTAAAATAAGATTTTCACATTGCAACAGTGTAAAGACATACAGAGGAGGGAGAAATGAGCAACCACAAAACCAAACGAGTTAGTTTGGCGCCACCGAATTCTATTTATGCCGGGATGACACAAGCACTTTTTTCTCTTTCCTCTTCCTTCCGGTGTGCAGGAATGACAAATAGCGAGGCATTCAAGAAGCAGCAGATTCTTTCTCTACCTCTACCAGCATAAATTAAACGAATAAACGTCCTTGTTTTTCCCTCTCTAATATTGCTAGAAAGGTCGCTGGACTGCGGTCGTTGCTATTATTGTAAAGTATTATCAACATTGTAGCGATTTCATCTTTTCTATGCAATTCTATACCACTCTAATTGTCCATATTTATCTTATCCACCGAGTTTTTGTTAAGTTTGTACTGAAATTGAATTTTTCGCTATCATCAACATTCTCTTACCAGTTGTACTGATCCTAAATATTTTTTCCTGGCATATTATTTGATTGGTCTATTTCGATTTTTGACTCCATTACACTATGGAAACTCTGTTTTGTGAATATTTACTTCACACTTAATCCTTAATTATTGTTTTGTTTCCTTAAAAACCATTAATTTGAAGTGTTTCATCACTAAGACAATTTCATATTTGATAGTTCATTCATTTGTTTTCTGTATGTTATTTGAAAAAAAAAACATTGTGTAGCAAAGACTTGTGCTGTAAGCATGATGTATTTGTGTAGTAGTTCAAGTTTGTTTTCTAATATGCGATCTTAGGAGAAGCTATTCATGTGAGAATAAATCTTAGGAGAAGCTATTCACAAAAACACTTCCTACTTTAGAGAAATATATGGAAGATATTAAATTATTATATGCTTTATTTTTACTCTGAATTTGGGATATATAAGTTCCATTTTCATGTTTCATTTCAAGCAGTGTATATGGTTCAAAGAAATCTATCTTAGATATATATATATATATATTTCTAATTCTGTAAAGTAATAAGCACATCTAATATCATGCTTTAGGACGTCTTAATTTCTGCTGAAAATAAATATTTCCTAAATTGCTTCCGCAAATTAATTCAAATTAATTCAAAAAACTGATGAATCCAGCAATATTTCGAAAAGTTTTAAATCAAGAAAAAAAATTGATTCCGAAGAACCTACCGAAATTCCCTGCGGGCCAGCTCCAACAGCTGGACTCCGTGCTTGTCCACTCACGAAATTGGG